ACGGCGACAGGCCCGCTCGCCCCTGTTGGCTCCTGGGGTAGGCCGACGGTACGACCCGTCTTCGCCGGCCTCTCAGATGTGCCCTCCCCTCCATGGAACGGGAAGGGCCCCGACCCCTGCAAGGACGAGCGGATACCTATCATCACATCCTCGCTCTCTAGGTCATCATGCTCAGTGTCGTCGACTACCTCATCATCGTTGTCATCACTGTCAGTGTCCTCCCCTCACTCCTACACCCGCAATTTCTGCTGCCTCTTCTTCCTCTCGTCCTCCTTCGCCTTCCTCTGTCGCTCGGCCTCGGCGCGATTCACCGCCCTCATGGACGGATCCCTCGGTAGTAGAGCTGGGTGATCCATAAAGACAAGGTCCCTCGGCTAGTCCCCCCATCTCATTGTTAGTGTCAAGGGGTCGGGAGATCAATTGAAGAGGAGGCATGAGGAAAGGAAACTTACGAAGACGATGTAGCCCAGTTCCGGCCGCATCAGAGGGTGCCCTGGCACTAGGTACATGAAATCAAGGGGAGCACCCGCGTCGTCCCACGATGGCTCCATCACCTCCTTGATGCGCTGCGCGACTTCGGAGGGGGAAAGGGCTTCCTCGGCAAGCGCCGTCCTGTCGAATGACGCCTCGGGCACCATCGCATACAACGAGAGCGCACGCTTCATTAGTGGCGCCACCCTCCTCATGTGGTATTCCCGAATGATGCTCGACCCCTTCAGGCCTCTCTCCTACAGGATGCGGAGGGCGACAAGGTGGTCCCAGATCTTCATCTTGTCCTTCTCTAGGACACCCCACTTCCTCCATGAATCCGGGGCCTCATCGATTAGGAGCTCGGTGAACTCTGGCAGGGGGCGGCTGCGTCGTTCTTGAGATGAAACTAATGCGAATGCCACCCCTTGTTGGAGGTCAACAAACGCATCGACGGGTACTCACCAACCCAGTTGTTCCGGAGGTGGATGCCGGCGTATCCCATCGGTGTGTTTAGCTCCTGCTTCTTCTCCCTCTTCTTCTAGAGGGTGATGGCAAAGAAGTACCACCACAGATCAAAGTGGGGACTCATCCCTTGGAATCCCTCACACAGGGCGATGAACGCCGCCATGTACTGGATTCCGTTGGGATTGAGGTGCTGCAACTCGATCTGGTAGTAGTGTAGCAACCCCCAAAGAAATATGTGAGTAGGGGTAGCAAACCCCCACTCATGGAAATGCATGAACGAGATGACATAGCCGTCGGGCGGCGACGGCACATCCTCCTCGCCGAGCAACAGCCACTCCTCGGCCACGGTCTGTGCACAGAGAAGACCATGGCGGACGAGGCCCTCAAAGCGCTGGAAGGTGATGTCAGAGCAGCACCATGGATCCATTGGAAGATGGGGGTGGGAGGATGCGAGCTCGACGGCAGTTGAGATGCCGATATGGGAAGCCTTGGCGATTGGCGGCGGAGGTTGCAGATGCGAAGGCAAGGAGGCAAAGTATGAAACCCTAAGGATGAACACTTTGGTTTTATAGGGATGACGGATGTGAGGAAACCAACTGTCTACCTAGATCTCCACGCCTGCCATGATCTACCATAATGTCACGCCGCGGGATATGCGCACACAATTCCTATCCTTTCCTTCGGAAGACTCGTCGGATGTTTCGCCTCCCTGGGCGAACCAGGACTCATTATGAGTAAGAGGAATATGGATAAAAAGAACACCTCTATGGCCCGTCTAGGCCTAGGAGTTCAATGGTTGGCCCATCAACGGGTCCAACAGCCGCTCCAAGCACCCCTACAATAAGGGATGGGCCCCGCAAGCGGCCAGTACCCAGGCGCACGAGTGCCATGGGCATCTCAACCCATGATCGAGTCTCAACCAGGCTGACCTTGGCCGGATCCCTGCAAATGGGATGCCAGGACCCCAATCAAACTATGCGGCTAACGAACCACCAAATCCCACGACCATACCCATGAAGGGTCCGACCTTGGCAAGAAGGAATCACCGTCTTTAGGACACGCCGTGGGCAACAATAGAAGGCTAGGGCCCTTAGAGTCCTCTCTTTCGGAAAAACCTTCGAAGGAGTATTCTACTCCTCCGTAGGCTCAGGGGCTACACCCACTGGGTGCGCTCGCGCGCACCCGCTGGCAAGTCAAAAAATCCCCCAGGCGATTCTACTCGAATCGCCTGGGGCTCGAGGGCTACTGTCGGGGGCCAATACTAGGGTACCCGAAGAGGAGGAGCTAATGCCCATCAACATTTATTTGTCTACGCGGTCAAGAGTGTGACTACGCCTCTTGTCGGGCTCCGCCTCGTCCGGCCACCGAGGCCATGGGCCCTGCCTTGTCTGACCCCCGAGGGTGGGACCCACCTCGGTGGGCACTGCGGCCACGGGCTCTGCCTCGCCTGACCCCCGAGGGTTGGCTCTACCTCGGCTGACTCTCGAGGGCTGGCTTCGCCTCACCCGACGTTTGAGGGCTGGCTCTAATCCCTCGGGCACAGATCCTTATGGAAGCTCACGACAACCACTACGGTCCAGAAGGTGTGACCCAAGGTCAAACTTCTAGAATCATGCAGGGAGCAGTCACATCCCAGCACGACCCATCCCTGCTACATGTTATTCTAGGGAACTCACATCGCCCACAGTGATGGACGCGTGGTCACTGTGCTGCCTACTCCCTGTATGGCTGCTGATCAGCACGCTGGTTCACCGCGCCGCCCGCCGGGGTGGAGTGGGATGTGACGGCTTGCTGACAATGCCAGGGCATGGCATTGTCAGCAGACAGGAGCCCATCGTGGTCCTATCATGGTCAGCGGACAGGAGCCTATTGTGGTCCCTGTCACTGCCTGTCATGTTAGCAGGGCCCGCACGAAGGAAAAGGAAAACCCAACGACCCTGAAGGACTTCCCTTGCCTCTCATGTCCCTCGCTCTCCCATCTATAACCCATGCTCTCCCTTGGCCTATAAAAGGGAAAGCAGGGCACCCCACTAAGGGGCATCGATTTACGACATTGCACATCACAGCAGAACCACTAGCATCGAACCTCGAACACATAGCTGGGCAGTGACCGAGCCCTCGGCACCCATTCGATCTTTCCATTAGAGACTTGGGACCTGTCCCTCTCTCGCCCGTTTGTAACCCCTACTATGAACTTTTCAATGCTAATAACACGAGCATCAGCCACGAACTGGACGTAGGGACATTCTATCCGAACCAGTATAAACCTTGTGTCTTTTTAGCACACCATCCGGGCCAGATGCGCAATAATACAAATTTACTCATTGGTGTTTACTCGAAACACCGACACCTCTAGTCCACCATCTTGATCCTACAGCGGTGGATCTGGGTGTAGCGGACCGCAGCAGGGCAAGGGCAACGTCGACGCAGCAGGAAGGCTCACCTACGAGATCTTCTCCCTGTTGGAGTCCAAGTTCCGATTTCGTTGCAACGTCCTAGACTCCCGTCCGGCCTCCTCCCAACCATTACACCGGGGAACCCCACTAGCGGCAGCCATCACCCACGTCCTCAACAATCGGGGTGAGTTACCCACTGCGGCCACCATTGATGACCTTTTGTCATGTCCATCAGCATAGGGGCCATGAGCTCCAGGCCAGAGAGGGGGACGAGTGTGGCGTCTCCGATGTTGGTGCCGGAGGACATTGTGCCGGCGTCCACTAGAGCTGAATGTGAGCGCAGTGGCAGCGGGGTGGGAGGTGAGCTGGGGAAGGCGAGCGAGGAGTTGCCGGGGGCATCTCCGGTGAGGCATGGGCCGACCACCAGCGGCAACAGGGCAGGGCTCTGTCGAGCAGTCGAGGCATGGTTGGGACCGCGGCTATGTGAAGGAGGATGACTGAAGGTTGAAGGAGAATCTAACTTGTGGGGCCGACACGTCAGCATGAATGGAAGGAGACAGAAACAACAAGAGTGTTTTGGTCCATACCAAAGATGTCAGTGTTAATATTCATGGAAAGCACTGCATTTTGACTCACCTAAAGCTCATTGGCCATCATTCTCTCTTTGTTGGCATTTGTTGGAACCTAGATAAGCTTGCGACAAGGTGTTCTGTCTGCCAACAATCACATGCGTTGTACCATCATGTGATCTATCTCCATTAGATCAGCAGCTTTTGACTTCAAGATTTGCTAACCCTAGGGCCTGTGTCAAAGAACTTGTCTAAGGACTTATGAAAGGAATGAAGACCGAATTCGTTGATTGTTTGAATAATGTACTCCATCATCAGGAGTGATGCATGGTTTTTGTTGGGCGCGGTGTGTACAGATCTAGATAGGATATCTGGAGTATACTAATGTGCAGGTCGGTTAAGTGTGACATGGAGCTATTCTTCAAATGTATTCACACATATGGATATCTATACGTTGTTGGTTATGCGTGAACAAAGGAAGGTTAGCAACTCACTACGTGAAAAACGGTTTGTAGCGACGGAATAAATTTTTTGTAGGGGCGTTTTGCCCACCCGAGAGATGCTACAGTGTACTTGCACGCATATAAAACAAAGGGTGCACACTGGCTAGGGTTTGGCACCCGCACTTGCCGCCCCCGGTCTCCTTCCGCACACGCTCTCTCTCCCTCTGACACCAGCGCCGCCGGCCTCCATGCTCCTCTGTCCGTGAGCTACAGCGGCGTAGATTGAGGGAGCCGTGTCGGACAGCCAGGCCTAGGAGGCGGTGGCCGCACGAATTATGTAGGCCGCGGGCGGTGGCGGCGTCTGCGCCGATCCGGGAGACTAGGCCACATGGATCTAGCCAGAGACCGCGGGCGGCGGTGGTGGCTGTGCGGACTCCGGCCACGAGCCGGCGGCGGATGCCGCGGGTGGCGGCGAATGCGTGGCTCGGGACACGAGACTGCGGTGGAACCTCGCAGGAAGCTGTAGGTGGCAGCGACCGCGCGGGCTTGGATCCGGAGACGGTACCGCAACCCTAACTGCCAAGCTCGCCGCCGTGGCTCGCTCTCTTGTCTTTTCCCCTCTGCTCGAGCACGCGTGGCTCCTACCATCGGCGGCGATGAGCGCGGTGAACATCACCAACGTGGCGGTGCTGGACAACCCCACCGCCTTCCTCAACCCCTTCCAGTTCGAGATCTCCTACGAGTGCCTCGTGCCCCTCGACGACGGTACGGATGCCTCCCCTTCTTTTTCTTCGGTCCCCGTGATGCGTGGCGGCAGGCTAGGGTTTCGTGCGTCCTGAGATCGACGGGTGTCGTTTTAGATGCTGTGTGGAGCAGGGGATATTGGGTTATGGGGTTGGGCTTTGCTACCTCTGCAGCATGGGGTCAGGAGGGTATGAGAGTCGAGCGCCGCTGCATCGGTTGCATTCCTGTGCGGTGGTTTTAGCATAGATGTGAATGCCATTGCAGTCGAGGCTACCACTATTCTTGTTCGGTGCATATTGTATTCTTGTATCGGAGTATGTTTTGGGATGTAGGGCGATTGGCTAATCTATGAATGATAAGAAAATCGCTTAACAATTTTTTACATACAGCTAATTGTTGGTTCACAAACAATTAAGTAGGGTTACATGGAATTTGGTGGGGGGAAATTGAACTGTCAGTACTCCTGTTCTAGAGCTCACCTTGCTTGTATGCTCGTGACGGTTAACTTCTCTTAATCATATTCTGGCCTTTATGTAACAATTAGCATAACAATGCAGCGTAATTTCCACTATGCTATTCTGTACCATGTGATGCTTGATCATACATTCTATCCTCCATTACTACTTTATGACTGAATCTTGAAACCAGTATCTTATATGACTGAACCTATTTGCTTAGCGGGTCATTGAGTTGTATACTTGTATTGTCAAAATCTGGGTGCCACATTAGAGACAGTTTTGCAAAAAATTCCATGCACACCAAAAAATTCTGGTCCAGACATGTTTGCTTCTCCCCTCTTTTGGCTCTAGTTTTTGATAGTGGCATAAAGGCATGTCATGATAAGTACTACATAGAAATTGTCAGATACAACCCAATCAACATTGAAGTACTAGGCTATAATTTATGGATTATGCATGGATATTGTCTTGTTTGAGGTAGCTTTAATTGTAACGCCATGTGTATTCTTCCCTGCATACTATAAAGACGTATTGAGCTATACATTATCTGTACGAGGCATATATGCAATTCTATCCTAAGGAAGCATTTACATCGACTGGAGCATCCTGGTGCTGTTGAACAGGATGTGGAATATGAGAAAGAAGATGATAATAAACTAGAGGATGAGATGCATGAGGACGAAGGTTTACCTTCTTTTCTGATTACTCAATCAACTATGTTTCCAAGATAATGAAGTGATTTTTTATGTATATTCTATTTGTAGATGATAAGTGATATTCGCCTGAGCCTATACCTCAGCACACAGAAAACCAATTTGAAGAGGAAGATGGGTCCTTCTCTCCACAGCTAATGCATGGCAATGAAGATGAAGATGCAATTGATCCTGAAGAGGACAAAGCTGAGCTGGTAGAGTCCTGTGTTTCTATTTCTAATAGTATTAACAGAAACATGATTGGAACTGTATTAGTTATATGCTGCAGTACAGTTAACTGAGTAGTTTAATTGTCAAGTACATATTGTTAGTAACTGGACTCCATATTATGCAACAAAAGAGGCTAACTAACAATATTAGGATGAAAAGTTCTACTGATATTTTTTTCGTTAAGAAGACAACCTTTCAAGCTTCTGCAGGCCTTCCTGCATGTCTTACCCTAAGAGGGGGGCATTGATTCATTTAAATCTTACTTTTGATGGCAATGCTCCTTATGGTGACTTAAATTTGAGGGCTTTCTAGAGTTCATATACAAGCACAATGGGTGAAGATTTTTCTTAAGAACATCAAGTTATTAGGGTTTATTTTATGAGTTGATTAGATAATTAGAATGATGTTGGCAACTCATACTTAATGCTTTTAATCGTCTCCAGGACCAAAAACGTGAAGCTGTAGTTTTGGAGCATCAAAGGAAAGTTCAGGAAGCCATGAAAGCAAAGGCAAGAGTACCTGATGAGATGGAGATGAAGGCCATAAAAACGATGGGAGCTATGGAGGAAGGAGATGCAGTATTTGGTGCCGGTGCTGAAGTGAACCTTGATTGACAGGTTTGGATGATTTTCCTTTGATCCCATTGCGTTTTTAGCATGGTAACATGACGATAGTTGTATATCTATATTTTCCAATATACTGCCTTGATACTGGATTAGCGAGAGAGTTCTCAGAATTCAACTGGGATATGGCGTGACTGTGACAATTTTTTAGTGTTGATCGAGAAGGACCGATGGTTATCTTGCTATAATCTGGACCATAGATAACACACCTTAAGCTACACCAAAAATTTCAAATAATCTGTTGACTCATGTAATTGTAATTGAGTATATTTTGACAGTTTAATATAGGGGTAATGCCATATTTGAGTTCGATACCATGGGTGGTAACAAGTTTTACACATAAGAAGCGTGATTTAGCAACTTTGGTGCATCCTACCGCATATGAACTCAGCTGGTTTCTGATGGCATATGCTTGTTCAATATGCTCGCAGGTGTACTGGTGGCACGACAAGTATCGACCAAGAAAGCCCAAGTACTTCAATCAGGTGCACACTGGATATGAATGGAATAAATACAACGAGACTCATTATGACCAAGATAACCCACTGCCTAAAATTGTTCAAGGCTACAAGTTCAATATATTTTACCCTGATCTTGTGGATAAATCAAAAGCACCAACGTACAATATAGAGAAAGATGGAAGATCATCAGATTTGAATTATATATATATATATATATGTTCCGGTCGAATTTAAATTATAAATTTATTATTGAACTGCCCCTACAAATATGTATTATAGAGGCGGCTACTACTACAGCCGCCCCTACAAATCGATTTGTAGGGGCGGCTGTAGTACCAGCCGCTCCTACAAATCGATTTGTAGCCGCCTCTACAAATCGATTTGTAAGGGCGGTTTGGGAACCGCTTCTACAAATGTATGATTTGTAGAGACGGTATGGTAGGGGCAGCTGACCGAGCCGCCTCTACAAATGATCTACAACCGCCACTACAAATGTTTATTGTAGTATTGACTCGGTCATGCATTGCTTGTGCTTGCAAGAGAATGGACAGGGTATGCGTTCGTGTAACTTACTCATCATCATGAATACAATCAGGCTCCAATTGAGCTGGCAACGGCTCATGAAACATTCATGTAGAGGTGCATAATAGCTAGAGAGGATATTATTTTAACAAAAAATGCTAAACTGACGTGTTGCTTGAAATTTGTTTGTTTCTCCAAGTTTTATGGAATCATTATTAGGTTAAACTAGTCCATCAACCCGTACTCTCGTTCGGGCTAGGATTTTTGAAGATATAAGTATTAGGTATTGTTGAATACATATAGCTAATAAAGAATTTATTATATTAAAATATTGTATGTTTTTCTCATTGTTTATTTTCAACTTATAGGCACCGTCTACCTCAGTTATCGTAAACTTATTTAATAACTTTTTTTTGCAAGGAGCTGATCTAAACGTTTTTTTTCATTCATATTTATATATATTTTCTGTGTATGGCCCCTTTGTATTTTTTAAATATGCAATTAGTTTGAAATCTTGCCATCAACTACGGCGTCTCTTGTTGTATCATATGCCTTAGGGAGTCATGAATATGAACTTAATTTTTCAAATTTATTTTTTATTGATTGCTATAAATATCATTATTGTTTAATATATATGACTAATAAGAATTACTTATATGAAATTGTATGTTTTCTCTTTGTTTATTTTTTTTAATATAATAGACATAATAAATACTCGTAGTCTATATCTAGTTATCATAACTTATTAATATCTTTTTGCAATGATGAGATCTATACATTTTTTTCATTCATATTCAGATTTTTCCTTTGCATGGCAACTTTGTATTGTTTAAATCTAAACCATTCAATTCGGAACAAGCTCCTCAAGAGAACCGCCGTGCATGTCACCCGAATTCTCACCACCGTTAGATCTTCAGCTCGATGACTCAGATCTCTTAGAGCTGATTCTGCCAGGAGCGGCTTCCCGATCTACTCCTTCAATTCCCCGGATTCTCTTCTGCTTATCTTTCGCTTCAGCAACTTCTTGTCCGAATCCGATCAGATAAATATATACACGGCTTCTGCTTCTCCTTCCCAAAACTTCTGCTTCCCGACCCTTCTCCTCTTCGCTCGATCTCTCGCTCTCTCCTCGACATGGTGAAAGGTCCTTGTTGGTTTTGGTAATTGAGTGACAACCTAGGTGGACTAATTGTGTTTATGTGAGATACACAGGTGATTAGTCCACAGGTACATGTGTATGAGCAACATATGCCATGGAGGTGAAAATGGCTTGGAGATGTTGCAAAGCTCACACATGTGATGATGAAGGAGCTTATTGCACATGAGACATGACATTGAGTCATGTGATCAAGGTGGAGAAGATCAAGACAAGACTTGGCTTGATGGACCGGTTGCAAGCGTGAAGGGCAAGTCGAAGGCTTTGGAGTGATGGACCGCGTGGCGGTGAAGCTTGAGCAAGACTTGGCGCCGATGGACGATGGCAACGGTGAAGAGCAAGTAGAGTCAACATCGATGAACCAATATGATCATGTGATGATATGAAGTGGATCATATCATTGTTGATCGTGTTGGTGCATGTGTTGCATCGACATTGAAGGAGATGGAATGGAATGCGCAAGGCAAAGGTATAACCTAGGGCATTTCATTCCACCGGTCATAGGTATGTAGAGAAGTTTATGACCGGGTTTATGATAGATGGCCGTACTATCAAGAGGGGCAAACTTGTTTGCATATCGGTCATCTAGTGCCACTCGAGTGATCTAACTTTGCATTGTCTCTAGGATCGAGTGGCGTGGCAAGTTGAGTGGCTAACATCCTTTGGGGAATGATTGTGAAAATGCTAACACACATACACATGGTGGTGTACACTTGGTGGTGTTGGCACATTTACAAAGGAGGTGGTGTTTGCAGGGGTGAGATGGGTTTGGGTCCCTCTCTCCCTCCCGCCTCGCAAGCTCGGCGGGATTCGACGCTTTCGAGAAAATAGAATGCCTATTTTCTATTGCGCCGGATGCAAGTTCTTGTGGTTAGCACATTGGAGCAAGGGTGATGAAGTTAGAAGTGAAAACGAGTTAGTCGCGAAGATGCTGGCGTCGGTCAACTGACCGGACGCTAGATCTGAATGCACCGGACGCTGGCAGGCTGCGTCCGGTCAGGCTGACGTACGATGACACAGAAGCTGGAGTGTGACCGGACGCTGGCTGCGTCCGATCAAGTGTGACCGGACGCGTCCGGTCGAGGTCGGTACCTTACTGGAAACGACCGGATGCTGGGGGTTCAGCGTCCGGTCAGTTGAAAGCTGCTGCGTCCGGTCAAGTCAAGTGATCGTTGGAATCAGGACACGTGGCTGTCTGCGGGCGACCGGACGCTGAGGTCCAGCGTCCGGTCAACACGACCGGAGCGTCCGGTCGGCCCGACCGTTGCCCAGTGAAGGGGTAACGGCTAGTTTAGCCCTTGGGGCTATAAATAGAAGTGGCCCTCGGCCATGGCTGGCGTTGAGCACCTCAAGGGACTTAGTGTCCATGCTTGTGAGTGCTTGGGAGCCCTCCATCACATATATACTTGATAGTGATCATTCGATTGTGTGAGTGAGCGATTCTAGTGCGATTGCATCGTGAGGTTGCATCGAGTGGCACTAGGTGGTCGTGTTGCAAGCCGGTGGTGCTTGTTACTCTTGGAGGTTGCCACCTCCTAGACGGCTTGGTGGTGGTCTCCATCGAAGCGCGCAAGAAGCTTGTGCGGCGCTCCGGAGAAGTGCTTGTGAGGGGTACTTGTGCTCGCCCCGCGGGAGCCGCGAAGAGCAACTCTAGTAAAGCGTGTCATTGAGCTACCCTCACTCAAGGGGTAGGTTCTTGCGGTGCCCGACGTGCGGGCTTAGCGGGTGATGCTAATTAGCCGCCGAACCACCAAGTGAGCGGTCGACACAACGGGGACTAGCGTGTTGGCAAACACGTGAACCTCGGGAGAAAAATCATCGTGTCAACCTTGTTCTTCCCGTTGGTTTGCATCCCCATTACACAAGCTTGCAATTACTTATATATATATCTTAAGCTTGTGTAGTTGCTCTTGTAATTAGATAGCTTGTGTAGCTAGCTAATTACCTTCTTGCTTGTGTAGCATAGAAGTAGCTCCCTTGCGTGGATAATTTGGTTTTAGTAACCTTGTTAGTCACATTGCTTAGTTTGTGTAGCTAAGTATTTGCGCTCTCTAATTAGGCATTGGTTGCCTTGTTATTGAGCATTGCTAGTGAGCTTAGTTAGCTTTGTGCTTTTGCTTACTAGCATGTGTAGGAGCTCTCTTGTTACTTAAAGTACTAGTGGCATAGGTTTGTGTGACCTTGCTCCTAGAATTGTTTAGGAGAGCTCTAGCTAGCCCGGCACCTTAGTTGCTTTATTAGTATCTTTGCAAGGTGCTAGTGAACATATATAGAGGGGTGTAGTCTTGGCTAGACCGATTGTTTTAATTCCGCATTTATATCGGTTAGCCGACGCGATTAATTTTAGAAAAGACTATTCACCCCCCTCTAGTCCGCCATCTCGACCTTACACATGGGCGACGGCGATGGTGCCCTTGCCATGTGGCGCCACCCACCCCCACAGCGGCCATCCTCGGCCACGGAGGGGCGCGACCGGGCCCAGCCTGTGGCTGCCGGCACGGCTTCCCCTCGGCGTTGCCTTCTCCAGCTGATCCGTGTGGGCTCGACGAAACCCTAGCTGCCTCTTCCTCGTTGGTCGCGCCAGCGGCTCCACTTGGCGGCCACATCTGGTGGTACATCACCCTCTTCTTCTCTTCCCTCGTCTCATGGCCCCTCTACCCTAGATCCCCTCTCCCTCATGGACCCGGCGCGGGCGGGGCGGCGGCGCGCTGGCCATGCCCGCCTCGGCACGGCTGCGCACTGGCACGACGCTCGCCGCAGCGCCCGCCGCAGACGCGGCCAGCTCCCCGTGCCACGGCCGGTTCCTCTACTCTGCATGTGCATGGTGACACCCCCTCTGCTCCGAGCGCTTC